CTAGCACTGATGATTGCTGTCACACGGGCGCCTGCTGTGGATCGGGCTCGGTGCTAAGGTCTTTCTGTGCACTGTCTCATTGAATTTCTCCCCATCCGGGTAAGGTAGGTGCTGTTTAACCATTTCCTTTCTGGAGAGGACAAAATTGAGTCTTAGAGAAATTAAAGTGGTTTGCCCAAGACCCCACGGCGAGCAGCGGCGTTGGGATTTGAACCCGGGCTGACTCCGGGACTCTTGACACAGAGGATCGGGCTGGATGCTGGCAGGAGGTGCAGAGCTGTGGGTGTACTCGGGCATCAGCTTCTTGTGGGGAGAGGAGGAGCCGGGCTGGGGCCGTAGGGCTGGCTGCCTGCCCTTGGCGGGTGCAGGACATAATCGCTGTCATCGCCCTCCAACGCCCCACAGGTGCTGGAGCAGCATCCCGACGGCCGCTGGAAGGGCCACATCCACGAGAGCCAGAGGGGCACGGACCGTGTGGGCTACTTCCCCCCAGGCATCGTGGAGGTGGTCAGCAAGCGGGTGGGCGTCCTTGCGCCCCGCCTCCCGTCGGCCCCCACGCTCCTGCGTCCAGGCTTCTCCCGGACGCCACAGCCCCCTGCTGAGGACCCCCTACACCCTTTGACCTGTGGCCAGCTCCCTCGGGTGGGCCTCAGCCCAGACAGCCCAGGTGCTGCATCCTCCCAGAGGGCGGTGCTGGGCACCAGGGTGGGCGTCTGACCTCGGCAAGCTGCCAGTCAGCTGTTGGCAGGGCCAGCTGGGGCTCTAACCCCTTTGCTTGTGGCCCTGCAGCAGGTGACAGGAATAGTGTGGGCAGCGAGGGCAGCGTGGGCAGCATCCGCAGTGCCGGCAGCGGGCAGAGTTCCGAGGGCACCAATGGCCATGGCACTGGCCTTCTTATCGAGAACGCCCAGGTAGGAGGGTGGAGGAGGGAGGGGGCGCTGGGACCAGGACAGGGCCCTCCATCCTGCCGTCAGCTCCCCACATGCTGAGTAGCCTCTTCCCGGTCTCTAGCCACTGCCGTCCCCCGGAGAGGACCAGGCGCTGCCAGGACTGCACCCCCCACCCCTGGCAGGTAGGAAGGGTGAATGGTACCTGGGTGGGCACCCCTCCAGCATGTCGCACCTGATTCTACCTCTCTCCCTCCTGAAGACAACCTGAGCCACCGCCCTCTGGTCAACTACCGTTCCGGGGAACAGCTCTTTATGCAGGATGTGAGGCCGGAGCAGCTGCTGGAGGGGAAGGTGTGACCCCCCACTGGGAAGCGGGCTGTGGGCCCCAGGGGTGCGGTGGTGTGGGATGGGCCCCTGCTCAGGCCAGGCGCCTAGGGGAGGCTGGGGCAGATGGCCGGGCTACGGCCTCGGCTCTCCTCAGTAGGCGCCGCTGTTAACATCAGCCCCTGCCCCCATACTGCAGGATGCTCAGGCCATTCATAACTGGCTGAGTGAGTTCCAGCTGGAAGGCTACACCGCCCACTTTCTGCAGGCCGGCTACGACGTGCCAACCATCAGCCGTATGACTCCCGAGGTAGGGGCCACGGCCGGGGGGCAGCGGAGGGCCCGGTGGGCGCTGGAGGGGGCCTGATGGCGCGAGTCTGTGTGGCAGGACCTGACAGCCATTGGCGTGACCAAGCCTGGGCACAGGAAGAAGATTGCCTCAGAGATTGCTCAGCTCAGCATCGCCGAGTGGCTGCCCAACTACATCCCGGTAAGCAGGTGGCCGGCACTGGCTCCCCCACTCAGCCGCGCCGTGCTGGCCCTTCCTGGCTGGGGCGCCGAGGCCAGCCCAGGAGCCAGCTCCCATGGGCTGCTTTTGCAGGTGGATCTGCGCGAGTGGCTGTGTGCGCTGGGGCTGCCGCAGTACCACAAGCAGCTGGTGAGCAGCGGCTATGACTCCATGGGGCTGGTGGCCGACCTCACCTGGGAGGAGCTGCAGGAGATCGGGGTCAACAAACTCGGTGAGGACTGCCCTGGGGCCTCCTGGCCGGGCCCCCCACATGCCTCCAAGGGGCTCTAAAACGTTTCAGGGTTCAAGCCCAGCGGGGAGAATAGGGTCCAGGAGGGACTGGGGTGGGCCTTTGCAGCCCCAGCTGACCCTGTGGCCTCTACCCATCCCCTCTCAGGTCATCAGAAGAAGCTTATGCTGGGAGTGAAGCGGCTGGCCGAGCTCCGGCGGGGCCTACTGCAGGGGGAGGCCCCAGTGGAAGGCGGCCGCCGGCTAGCCAGAGGCCCAGAGCTGATGGCTATCGAGGGGCTGGAGAATGGGGACGGTCCGACTGCCGCTGGCCCACGCCTCCTCACCTTTCAGGGCAGCGAGCTAAGCCCAGAGCTACAGGCAGCCATGGTGGGGGGCGGCCCTGAGCCCCTCCCCCTGCCCCCTGCCCGCTCCCCCAGCCAGGAGAGCATTGGGGCACGCTCACGAGGGTCGGGTCATTCACAGGAACAGCCTGCCCCCCAGCCCAGTGGAGGAGACTCCAGCACCCCACAGGAGAGGAACCTTCCAGAGGGCACAGAGCGACCCCCTAAGCTTTGTTCCCCACTTCCTGGCCAAGGGCCCCCCCCTTATGTGTTTATGTATCCCCAGGGCTCACCCTCCAGCCCAGCCCCAGGGCCACCTCCTGGCGCACCTCGTGCCTTCTCCTACTTGGCTGGTCCCCCTGCCACTCCTCCGGACCCGCCTCGGCCCAAGCGCCGGTCCCACAGCCTGAGCCGCCCCGGCCCTGCTGAGGGGGAAGCAGAGGGGGAGGCTGAAGGGCCGGTGGGCAGTGCCTTGGGCAGCTATGCCACCCTCACCCGGCGGCCGGGACGCAGTGCCCTAGCGCGGACCAGCCCTAGCCCAACCCCAGCTCGAGGGGCTCCCCGCAGCCAGTCCTTTGCCCTTCGTGCCCGACGCAAAGGCCCGCCACCCCCACCTCCTAAACGCCTCAGCTCCGTCTCTGGCCCCACCACGGAGCCGCCTCCTATAGATGGAAGCCCGGGGCCTAAGGAGGGGGCCTCTGTGCCCCGAAGGCGAACACTGAGTGAACCAACTGGCCCCTTGGAGCCCCCCGGCCCGCCTGCCCCGGCTGGCCCCGTGTCGGACACAGAGGAGGAGGAACCAGGGCCGGAGGGGACGCCCCCATCTCGGGGCAGCTCAGGGGAGGGGCTCCCATTTGCGGAGGAGGGGAACCTGACCATCAAACAGCGGCCGAAGCCAGTGGGCCCCCCACCCCGGGAGGCGCCTGTGCCCGCTGGCCTGGATTTCAACCTCACCGAGTCAGACACTGTTAAGCGGAGGCCCAAATGCCGGGAGAGAGAGCCGCTGCAGACGGCACTTCTGGCCTTTGGAGTGGCCAGCGCCGCACCCAGCCCCTCCGCCCCCCTGCCCTCGCAGACCCCCAGCGAGCCCTCCTCAGCTGCTCCCATCCCTCCCCAGCCTGACCCTAGCAGCCTTCCAACTCAGGGAGCTCTGGCCCCTCTTTCTCCCAGCCCCCCAGCCCAGCCCCCTGCGCCCCCCGCACCCCCCGGCCCTGGGCCTGCTCTGGAAAACAGTGCAGGCAGTCGGCGGCCTGGGGAGACGGAGCCCCCTGCTTCCCCTGCTGCCCTCATCAAGGTGCCGGGTGCAGGTATGAGGCAGGGCCCGCAGGGGGGGGGGCGTCGTGTGCAAGGGTTGTGTCCAGCCATCTGAGTCACAGCCAAACTTTTTGCCTCTGCAGGAACGGCCCCCAAGCCTGTGTCTGTGGCCTGCACCCAGCTGGCATTTTCTGGCCCTAAGCTGGCTCCCCGGCTCGGCCCCCGCCCCGTGCCTCCTCCGAGGCCAGAGAGCGCTGGGGCCGTGGGCTCTGGCCGGGCCCAGCAGAGGCTGGAACAGACCAGCTCATCCCTGGCAGCTGCGTTAAGGGCCGCAGAGAAGAGCATTGGCACTGAGGAGCGAGAGGGGTGAGGGGTGCTGGGTGCTGGGCGGGCGGGTGCGGAGGGAGAGGGCTGCAGTGGAGGAACAGCTCCTCTAACTCCTCTTCCCCAGGGTCCTGGGCATGTTGGTGGGGGAGGGGAGCAGACAGATCCTTAGAGTGGGGTGACCCTCATGGGAATGGGAGGAGCCCAGGTTCTGAAGTCACCCAGATCTGACCTGTGGGGAATCCTGGTGGCTGCCACTTAGAGGCATGGGAGCTTGAGCACATCACTTCCTCCTGAGCCCTAGCGCCCTCACGTAAGGGAGAAGTTAAGATGCACACAGAGTGTTTGGCACCGGCCAGGCATTCAGGCACAGCCCCTGGCCCACCCACGGCCCACTTTCTGATCGGACCCGGTCCTTGCAGCCCTCCCGGCACCTCCACCAAGCACATTCTGGATGACATCAGCACCATGTTTGACGCCCTGGCTGACCAGCTAGATGCCATGCTAGACTGAGAGCCTCTGGTGGCCTTCAGCAGCGCCCATCATGACCTGCAGTGTCTGCGGCCTTTGCCCCCGCGCAGAAGCGTGCCTGCCCAGGCGGGGGCCGTCCTGCCACTCCAGGCCAGCGGCTGTCGGCGCTGCAGCGCTGGGGGGCCGTCTCCACGGGAGGCTGAGGGGACTTGTCAGAAGCTGACATCTCAGCAGAGCCCCCTCCCGGTGTGTAACCTGACCAGTCAGCCCTGCCCCGTGGACAGGGACCCTGGCAAGAGCTTCCTCCCTGGAGAGAAAGAGGTGGCTTCTGGGGTGCTCCCTCTGCCCTCCCCCACCTCCAGGGGCTCCAGTCCCTGTGCCAAGGACCTCTTGACACCTGCCCTGCTGTCCGGGCACACGCGGAGGCTGGAGAAGGCTGTGTGTCTGACCGGGTCCACACAGGTGTACACAGGACATATAACTAAGCGGCCAGGGGCTTGCTCTTGGCGGCGGTGGGCCCCTGCTCGCCCCTGCCCGCCCCTGCTCCTGCCCGCAGTGAGGCAAAACTGGCAGGGGTAGGGCCAGTGGGAGCAACAGATCCCCAAAGTCCAAACTTTTTCAACTGTAAATGTTATTTTTTAAGGAGAGAGAAATGCATATATTTTAAATGGAATTTATTCTATCTATAACCGCCTGAGAGGACACGGGGGAAGAGGCTTTAGACCACGGCACGAGTGCGCATGATTCGCCTCGGGGCTGGAAGGCTGATCTGGGTGGCCCCGGGCCCCGGCTCTGTAACCATTAACCTCTTATCCTAACTAACCCCAATGAAAGTGTCATTCCACGTGATCGGGCTGTGTGTTTGGATCTGTGCCACGGACCTCTGAGCCCAGGGTTCTCGCCTGGGCCAGACCCGAGGACTCCTGCCAGTGGGGAAGGAACAAGGCTCGGGCCCTCCCCTCCCCTTCGGGGCTCCCTCACCGGCCAAAGCCTTGGGTGGGCCCCTGAGTGGCTGCCTCATGGACCAGCCACGGATTTTTCTTAAGCAGTTTACAAGTTTTAATACAAACCAGTCTACATTCATTCCTAAAAGGCTCATTTCCAGTAAAAAATATACACCAGTAAAAACATTCTCACAGGAGAACTAGGGCAGGGGGCCAAAGGAGCCCTGGGCCATATCCCCAGGACTGGCGCTCCAGGCCAGCTTGAAGGCGGGCACAGGAAGAGGTAACCAGGGCAAGGCAGGGGGTCTTCATCTTCGGGACTGAGTGTGAGGCTCCCCCACAGAGGGAGGGAGGGGGAGTACTCGACCACCTCCAGGCCCCCACCCCAGGAAGACAGGTGGGGTGCAGGGAGGATGCACCAGCACTGCTCCCTTTCACGGTAGCCTGTCTGAACCCCCCCACGGCTGCTGCCACTGAGGTCCTGGCCCCACCAGGTTCATGGCTCTGCCCGGAGACCCAAGAGCAGAGGGCCCTGGGCTAAGAGACCCTAAAGGAGGCAGCCCGCAGGCGGAGGAAGCTAAGGGCCCCTCTGCTAAGTGCACTAGGTCATACATTCAAGACCAGACTGTCCTGATGCTGAGGCCACGGCTCACCAGCTCCTCCACAGTAAGCCCTGGGGATCAGGACGACAGATGGGTCGGACGAGGAGCTGGGCCTCCCGTGACACAGGCCGCGAGAGGAAACCCTGAAACATTCACGATACCAACCCCCCAGACTCAGAAACTGGTCTGGCTTTAGCCCCGGCACCTGGGCAACGAGAACCACTGTGGCCAATGGCTCAGAAGGGGGAGTTCATGCCCAGTTTCGTTTCAAACTGCAGTTTCTGCCGCTTCTGGTAGCGAACCCGGACCCTGGTGGGGCAGGAAATGAGAGCTCAGGTTAGAGCAGAAGCCCAGACCGGGGACAGGGCAGGACCCCAGAGGAGGAGGGAAGTCCAGGCAGTGGGGACAAGCCGGGGAGCTGTGCCCAGGAGGTTACGGGCCTAGGGATCGAGCCTGAGCCCAGAGGGCGCGCCGTGTTGGTGGCTCACCGAATCTCATGCAGCTTCACGATCTCGTTGGTGACCACCACAAGCACCAGGGAGAGGCAGCCCAGGAGCCACGTCAGCAGAGGCACGTCCTCCAGGCCAAAGTGGACACGGCTGTCCCTGTGCGTCCACAGCTGCAGGTCCACTGCCGTCTGGACCACCTGCCCCAGCAGGCTGCAGGGAGAGGTGACAGCCCTGCATGACCCTGGGCCTTCTTGCTTCCTTCCCTGCCTTTCTCAGTACGAGTAGCTCAAGGAGGGCAGCATCTGACCTCTGGCTCAACTCCCTGAAGCAGGACTGGTTTGAAGTCCTGCTCCTACCCCCCCACCCCCACCCATCCATCGGCAGATACTCACACCACGGCCACGGTCACGGCCCACCAGAGGTTTGTCAAGGGGCTCTTTCGCCACAGGGGCTTGGTGCGATGCACGTGGGTGATAGAAATGAAGACTGGAGAAAACAGGGTCGGGGGGGGCGGCGTCAGACATCCCCCTATCCACAGCCCCCACTGGCCCCTCCCGGGGAGCCCCTCACCTGTGTGCAGGACGATCAGGGCAGCGGTGAGCTTCTGAGCCGTCAGGAGCCCATTGGCGAAGTCGCCAAACCAGGCTGGAGCGGCGTAGGCATGACTGTCAGAGTAAGGGGTGGACTCAGCCCCCCGCTGGGCCCTGGGAAAGTGGGCGGGGGGCCGGGGTGGGGGGGGGGCGCGAGGTCAGGACCCACCTGCGCAGCATGATGGAGGAGCAGTTGGTGAGGCTGCGGGCCCGGGAGCTGTCACAGAAGCTCTGCAGCGTGAAGCCAAAGCAGACGAGGCACGAGCTGATGGTGAGGCTGAATTTGAGCAAGAAGCAGAACAGGAAGTAGTGCTGGGTCTGCAGAAAGAGGAGCAGCCCGTCACTCCCGGGGCAGCGACCCCTCTGGCCCCGGGCTCAGCAGGCCCTGCAGGAACCGGGCAGGCCCCGGGGGAAGAAGATCCTTCCCAGCTCTGTGCCACCACCTCCCCTCTGGTTGGGGGAAGTTCTGACAGAAGCCCCCGTCTCTCCCCCAAGTCTCCCCCCACACACACACCCACATTCCTCAGGAAAGGCCGTGGCTCACAGGGCTCCACGTTGCTTACCTTCTTAGGAATGGACTGAAGGTTCTTCCCTGTGGCCATAGACATGATGGAGCTGTGGGGGGGCTTCCCCAGCAGAGAGATGCTGAAAAGGAGGGACTTGGTGAAGGGTGGGGACTGTGACCCTCTGTCCCCCAATTCCCACATGGGAAACCTTTCGAGAGTTTTGGGAGTGAGGGCAGGTCTGGGGGGAGATGGGATAAGAAAAGGGAGAGTCCCCCCCACCACCACCAGTGTCTCCTGTGCCAGGGGTGGTGAGCACTGAGCAGGTCTCCAGGACCAGGGCTCCCAGCCCCGCCTGCCTGGACCCGGAGGGGCAGCCTGACTCTCACCTGAGCAGAGGGTAGCAAAAGCAGGACAGCCAAAGGATGTCGGTGGTGCTCAGTAGCGGCGGCAGCTGAACCAGGCAAGAGAGGAACTAGACCAGGAGAGCCCAGGAAGCAGGATTAGGTTCTGTCACATAGTAGGACGCCAGGAGCCCCAGGGCTGCCTTGCCCTGTGCCCAGACAGATGCCCAGGGGAGCTAGGGCCGCAGGGGCCGCTATTCTGCTGATGGGGTCACCTCCAAAAGCCTGGGGGTTCCGCAGAGGCCAGGGGCCCCCTAGGCTATGTGGTATCCCGCCAGCCTGCCACCCCAGACTCTTAGCCGGGCCCGGAGCAGAGGAGCACGTGGGGAGGGGCAGTGCCTGTGCAAGCCCAGCTCACCTGGATGACCACAAGGGTCAACTGGCACTGCAGCAGGAAGAGGAAGCACTTGCGAATGCCGTAGGTGGCATGCCGCGCCTAGGGACCGGGAGGGACAGATTGTGGCCAGGCCTACAGCTGACAAATCTCAGCCAAGAGCCAGATGCCCCAGATGCTCCTGCTAGCAAACGGTGCAGGCCAATGAAACTGCCGGGGAAAGCCTCTCTTGGAGAGAAATCAGCCCCTGGGAGCCCAGACGGATCCTGTGTCACTCTTCCCCACCCCATGCAGCTCCCCCCAATCTCTGCCCCCTCCGCCTGCCCGAGCCCCAACCTGCTCAATGAGCCGGATGATGCTGATGGTCTCCTCCTGGCGAAAGGTCAGGGAACAGGGTAGGCTGTTGAGCTGCCCCGAGAGCTGTAGGGGAGAAAGGCCATCCGAGGCCTGGGCCATGCTGGTGCTGGTGGCGTAGCCAAAGGTCTCCCAGGAGCAGCGGGATGGGTACAGGGGATCCAGGGCAATGCTGCTCAGCGTAGGGGGAAAGCACAGCCATCAGCTACACTCTGCAAACATCCCATCTCCCATAGGACTAGGCAAGCACCCACTCCCTCTCTCCCCACCGTGCCCAGGTCCGTTGGTCCCAACCGTACCAAGACCAGCCATGGAATATGCCCCAGCCCCAAGCAAGCCCCCACTCTCAGGCGTCCCCCTGACCTGATGTCACTCTGGAGGAAAAGGCAACTGTTCCTGAGATTAGCAGAGCTGCCCAGGCAGCAGGTCACCTCCCCATATTCCTGCATGATCTTGATCATCTCACACATGGCTGAGGGGGCAGAGTCGGGGGGCATAAGAGTCAGGCGGGCAGAGCCCTGTGTGAGGCTCTGGGCAGAGACCCACAGGGCAGGAGAGCAGGAGACAGGGGAGAGCAGGCCCCACTTTGGGGACAGTCCTCCCCCCAAGAATGTGAATATCATGTAACTACTGTCACTTCTGACTCCCTAGAAGGGGCACACCCACAGCTCCAGCCCCCTACGTTCCCCGGCTCCTCCCAGCTCAGGTTGCTCGGCTCCCCGCATGGGACAGCAACATCTCCTGCAGAGCCCACCGGGTCGGGGTTAGGGTTACCGGGAGCCCAAGCCTCTTTAGTAGCCGTGGTTACGGTACTCACTCTCGGGGGTACAGTCGGTAAATAGGGGCACTAGCAGGGGCACATTGTCAATGTTCTGCAGGTGGGGGCGCACCTGGTGGATGCCGCGCGGCAGCTTGGCCTGGAGAGAACAGAGGTGTCAGTAGCCTCAGGGTCGGGAGAAGGGCACCTCCCTCCCTCCCTTCTCTGGACCAGCCAGTCAGCTACCTCAGGTAGTCCAGGGGCACAGACCCTGCCATCCTACCCGGTTGCAGTCCTCCAGGAAGCTGGGGAGGTCACTGTCTGTAGGCTGGAAGCTGATGAGGTCTGAGTGACCCTCCTCCTCCAACAGAAGGAGCCCTTCCGCATCATCTCGGGACACTGTGGGGATGAAAGCCCGTCCTTCACCTTGGAGTCAGCCTTCTGGGGGCCTTTCCTTGCCCTGAAGATGGCAGAGAACTTCCTGCTTCTGGTTTCCTCTCCTCCACGGTCGACTGTTGTTACCGCAGGGAGACGAGAGCAATTTTCCAAGGGAGTGCACTTCTCGGGAGCGAGCTACGGGGTTTCTTTCTAGCTGTGTCCAAGGTGGGGGAACCGCCCACACCTACCTCGTCCCCGTCACAAACCTGTGCCCTTACCCTGATTCAGGTCATCATGCAGGGAGCCAGCATGGCTGGGGCTGGAGGGGGGGATCTCGGAGCCCGGCAGGTCACCATTGGGCGTGAGGGAGATGTGGCAGTTCCAGCCTGTCTCCAGGCCCATCTTTTCTGCAAACACCTGCAAAAGGCAGACGGCAACGAACAGATGGGCCCGTGAGCCCACAGGAGAAAGGGTCAGTGGAGGCAGAGGAGGATGGCTTTCCCCCCCACCTTGCTTTTGAGCTCATCCTCCAGAGAGAAGTAGACGAAGCGGATGCAGGCATTGACCAGCCCATCGATGAGGCGCACGATGTCCAGCCGGGCCTGGTACTGGGAGGACACCATGCCCATGAAGATCTGGCCGCTCAGGGCCTGCATGCAGTCTTCCTTCTCCAGCACCTCCCCGATCCCTTCTTCAGGTAGACACAAGGCACAAAGCCCAGCCAGGACACCCAGGAACCAGCAGATTCCAGGAGGCAGCCCAGGCCACACACACAGATGCCACACCCGAATCAACGAGCATGTGGGCCCCAGGGGACCACACACACAGCCACACGTGCACGCACACACACACACACACAGCCAAGACACATAAAGGAGCCAACAGACACAGGAGAAAAGACAATGAAAGGTACTCATCAGTCAGGTGATGATCCTAAGGAGTAACGATAGAGCCCGGCCCTGGTCCAGGGCTAGGGGGCTGCCCTCACTCTCAGCCGTGGCCTCGATTCATGGTCTTTTGGGTCAGAAGACCCTGTGAGGTCTGTCTGTTTGGTGGCATTGGGGGAGGGGTGGGGCGGCTCTGAGTCCCTCTGTTCCAGCAGCATTGAAACCTGGCCTTTTTGTCTGGTCAAATAAGCCTAATGGTCTATAGATACTGCTGCTTTACAACTTTCAAAGAAAGCCCTTTGCTATCGCACCGGAGTGTCACAAGAAGCCTGTGAGGAGGGCAGAGCAAGCACCATGAGAAGGCTAAGGACTTGCCCGCGCCACCAGACAGCGAGTGCCACCTTGGTGCTCCAGGCCCGGTGCCCCCACAGTTCCCTCCGCCACGATCGATTCCAAGGCGCTCCGGAAGCCCTCCCCGCTGGGGGCCCCCAACGGGACAGACGTGCACGGTACCGTCCGAGCTCCAGCTGTTGCGGCGCGTGCTCAGCTTGACTGGGACGGTGCTGGGCAGCTCACACACGGTGAAGATGCTGCTCTGGCCAGGCACCTGCACAAGCTCAATGCACTTGCCGTTGAGCTGAGAGGACAGGGCACAGCTCATGGGCTTGTAGGCGAAGGCAGAGCAGTAACCAGATAAGCAGGCCCGCTGGTAAAAATCCAGCACTTTCTTTCTGCCAGGGAAATGGGGAAGAAGTGAGGCGAGTGGCCCTGAGATGCCCCCATGCCTGTGAGTCAGGCGGGCAGAGGGCAGGGGCTGTCGGCCATCAGCACGAGGGGTGCTTCCTCACCCACCTGTCAGAACCTGAAAGAGGGTAGATGTCGGCGCCATCCCAGAAGTCTGTGCAGGCCTCTAAGACCACGTCAGCCGTGCCATGGGACAGCATCTGTTCTGTGCCTGAGGCGGGGAGGACGAGGCCGAACCATGAGTGCCCCAGGCTACTGCCACCGCCTCAGGTAACACCCTGCCATTCTTGAGAAGGGTGCTAGGGAGCCCCTGGGGAGTAGGACTCCCCAGGCCTGTGTGGGCTTGCAACCCTGCGGACAGTCCCCAACCCCTGTGGCCACCATCCCAGCACCAGTCCCCAAATCCAATCCCTGCCGCATCTGAGGAAGATTCCAGAAGGAGCCTAGTGCGCATCTGCCCGGGGCCCCCCCAAAAAGGGACGCCTAAAAGAAGTCCCGCCCTGCCAAGCTCCAGGAAGGTCTGGCCTGATGCTGGCCAAGCCTGGAAGGCTCACTGGTAGTGGTGTCCTTGATGAAGAGACTGATCATATGGCTGAGCGGGGGGCGCCGCTTGGTGACACAGGAGAGCCTCCCCAGCGAGGTCTCCTTCACCATCTCGGCACTGGGGAGGCGGTAGAGCGCAAGGTGGTTCCCCTGCTTGAAGAGCTCCTTGGCCCCAGGAGTGAAGCCTGCGGGGGGAGGGAGGGACGGCAGCTCGGGGTGTCCGGGAGCACCTGCACCTCCCTCCCTCGCAGGGAGAGAACCCCCGTGAGGCTGGGCTGGTTCTTTCCCCCTTTCCCCATGCCCCTGGTTATTTTCCCGGACTAGGAAGCACTGTCGAGCAGCGCCTGGTTCCGGGGGGGGGGGGGGGGGGCAGGAGCTGCCGGGGCTCCCAGCGCACCTATGAGGCGGGCGAGCTCGCAGAGGCCCCAGGGCACGTGCACGGGCAGGGCGGCGCTGTGGCTCTCCTGCAGGGCGATGTTGCACAAGTGGTCGGAGAAGCGGCACAACCGCTCGGTGACGCCGGCGTTACACAGGTTCAGCAGCACATTGAGACCCAGCGGCTTCAGGGACGTGAGGTGCAGCTGCCAGTTGGAGTCGTCGAACTGGATGCAGGAGGGGTTCTGCTGGTCCTGCGACAGGCTCAGCATCTCCAAGTGGTAGTCACACACAAAGTCCTCTGCTTCGTAGGGCTCGCCCTCCAGCCCGGGCTGGGCCGCAGCGGAACGGGGAAGAGAGAGGGGAGCCTCAGCCGGGGAGAACGCACCCCCTTCCCAGTGAGCAGGCTCGCGCCTGTGCTCTTCCCTGCCCTCCCGGAAACCCTCTCCCCGTCCTTGCTGGCCTTCTGGCTGCTTCTGGGAGCTCTGCTCAGCAATGGCAGTGCCTAAAAAAAGGATGCCCAGAGCAGGGAGGGAACAGTGGAGGATCTCTTTCTCCAGGGGGAGCCGCCAGCCCTCTGTCTTCAGAAGGTTGTGACCAGAAGGAAGGGCCTTGCCCCAGCCAGTCACCATCTGTAAGACCCAGAGAAGGGGAAAGGGCCTCCTTCCTGGAAGGGCCCCAGGCCCTGGATTAGGCCTCAGGAGGCCGTCCTGCATGGCCGAGCCTGGAGGCCTGAGCATGGAGGCCGCCACATCTGTGCCTATGGCTCCGTCCATCCAGGACGGGCTGCACCCCTTGGCCCCTTCAGCGGGGAGGCCAGGACACCCCGAGGCTGCTGTCTGCACTCCTCTCACCTTGCCAGGCTCTTCTTCACCGCCCTCCGTGTCCCGGCTGAAGCTCACGTTGGAGCCGGATGGGTGTTTGCTGCGGCCGTGTGCTTTGTGGTGAGAGTAGAATTCAGGGGGCTTGGGACCGTCACCCAGCCAGTCGCCACGTTCCTGCTCATTGGAAAGGTGCAGGCTAGTGTTCAGGGAACCGGCCAGGAGGGCATCTCGTTCGTGGGGCTGAGGAGAACAAGGAGCACAGGCCTCGGACCAGGGTCCCGCTGGCTGCCATGGACCGGGGAGGCAGGGAGTTATGTCCCCCCACTGTCTGGGGTGGAGGCTCTGCCTGAACGGCCCAGAAGCAGATCCTAACGGTGCTCGAGCCTTCCTTCTCCCTCCCAGCCTCGCCCTCCCTGAGGCCACTGGCCGGCCCAGAGCTGGGTCCCCAGGAGCCGGCCATACCTCCTCCTCTACCTCGGGATGGCAGAAGGAGCGGGTGGACAGGTCATCGGTTAGGTCCTCATGGCTGCTGTGTGGGGGCTCCACCTTCCCACTGAAGAATAGCACAGTCTCCGGGCTGGGGTTTGGCCATGACAGGATCCCCTGTTTGTCCACACAGCACAGGACCTGCAGAGAGAGATGGGGATTGGGGAGGGGGGGCTTGGCATTCCCCAACCTGCCAGGGTCCACTTAAGTGGTGGGCAGGCACCGGGACACAGCCAGGCAGCAGGCCAGTGGAGGCGGGGTCCTCCCACAGGGCCCGCCCTCACCGTGACCGAGCCCAAGCTGTGCAGCAGGCTGGAGCTGTGGCTCAGGGTCGGCGATGTCCCTTGGATCACCCGCAGGAAGTGGCCCCAGATGCAGCGCAGCATTTCCTGGGGGGAGAGACAAAGTCCGTGTTATTTCCCTAGAGATAGCCTCTGGGGCCAGCAGAGGAAACAGTCCGGGGACACCAGGAAGTTGGGATGGACAGGCATTTGTCTGGGCAGAGCGCATTGCCCCCATGAGACAGGAGACTCCAAGGCCATAAAGTAGGGGAGTCCCAGGGCTCCGGAAGGGGCCAGCTTGAGGGAGCTCAGGTTGGTGGCTACAGGGGCCTGGGGCAGAAGGTGTCCCAGGTGAGTGTACCTGAGAGGAGACGGCTTCTGTATAGCTGCTGAGAGTGTCCTCTGAGAACTTGGCGAGCTGCATGGAGCGGAGGCCACTAGCTCAGGGAGGCGCCCTCACATGGCCTCCAAGCTGCAAGGGGGGCGGGGGGGCCCACACCAGCAAGGCTCCCAACGCCTTTGGTAAAGGACACCCGGGCAGTCCCCGAATCCCATCTGCTGAGTGCCAGGATGGACGGCCCCCCGCCTCCCGGGGCCTGGCCTGGAGGCTCCTCCACACAGAGAGCTGCCCAGGGCCTGCCCGTGCACGGCGCCCACAGTGGGGCTGGACCTCCGCACCTGTTCGCTGGGGCACAGCTGACACCCTCTTTTTGCTCCCGAATTGTGTTCTTTTTGTACTGTCACCAGGATGCCTTGGAACAACCTACCAGGGAGCTGGGAGAGGCCTTGCTCATCTGAGCCAGGACTCGAGCTTCTCCACAGGCGGTTGCCAGAACCCAGAGGACTGGAAAGAGCAGGGGGAGGATGGGCAGGACGCCATTCACCTGGGGAAGCACAAACCACACCAAAGGCTCCCAAAGAGCCACTGGTCTGGAAAGAGGGAGGGACGGACGGCCTTCCCCAGCCCTGAAGCTATTCCCTGAGTAGAAAGGGACAGCTGTCCAGGGCAGGAAGAAAAGGGGAGCAGGCATTCTTAAGCTGAAGCCGGAGGGACCCCTGGGCTACAGAGAGGGAGGGACAGCCAGGGCACGATGAAGGGACCCAGCCTCCAAGGAAAGAGCAAAGCATCACAGAGTGGCAAGGGTGGGGGTTACCTGTAGCTGGAGGAGGGTGTACTGCCAGGAGGTGACACCAGGGGCATTCAGCATGAAGCGCAGGGCATTGGTGATGAGGAAGCCAGCCTTTGGGGAACAGCAGAAGTGCAGCCTTAGTCCCCCACCCAGAGAGGGACCCAGGCTCTAAGGCTTCCCTTCCTCTGCCCACTCATACCCTCCCCAGCCCCAGCACTGGCCGTCTCACTCTGGGCGCCCCCGTCTTCACTCACGCGCTCACCCAAGTCTGGCCCTGAGGCTCCCCCATTTCCTGGCCCCCTCCCCTGCCCCGCGAGGCCCGTCTCACACACCAGGACCACAGGCACTGCATAGTGCAGCATCACCGACTGCACTGTGAACCTCTCGTTGTCCAGAGCGGTGACTGGGCGGGACAGGGCCATGTCCAGGCACCATCTGCAGAAAGGGATGACCCTTCAGTTGGGCAAGCCCTCAGGGGAGAGGCCGGAAACACTCACCTGCACTGGGCATCACTGAGTCAGGCCATGTTGTTGTTCCCTGGCCCCCACCAAGGGGCCCCCTGGGAGAGGGGTCTGGGGCAGCCTCCAGAGCTGTCCCCTCAGATTTCCAACGGGGGAGGAACAATCACCCAGGCTAGGAATTCTCATAAGACGTCAAAGAATCCACAGAGGTGCCCACCCTAAGGGGGGCTCAGTATAAACCAGGCTCTCTCCTTGTCACCCCGCCCCCTGCTCCTGAAGGCACCAGGGGAGAGAAGTCAGGGGCCAGGCGGAAGGCAGGGCAGCAAGCCGACCTGATGTTGTCAATGACAGGGGTCTCAAGAACACGGAAGAGCCGGTGCTGCTGGGGGTTCTGTGGTCCCTTCTTCACTTCTCCCCGGGGGGAAGGCGGTGGAGAGAAAGGGGGAAACAGGTCTCCGGGCTCCAAGACGATGTGCTCATCATCCTGCCGGAGAGTCAGGGGAGGAGGGCAAGGAGGGCATTGGTTCAATCAGAGGCCACTCTCCCTTGACAATTCCAGCTAAGTGGAGATACCTCACTGGGTTAGGAACCATTGGTTAGCAAAGAGTCAGCTGGTGGTTGGGGGGGGGCAGCGGGGGGCTGTGGAACTGGATTCCTAGCAGCTTAAGCGTCAGAGAAAAGAAAGGACAAGAAGGAGAAAGATGTTCCAGCTCTTCTCCATTCTTCCAGAGTCCTTGCCAAGAAGCCTGTGAACCGGCCAGGAAGCTTCAGAATTAAGCCCTGGGACCCTCCCACCATTGCCTGTAGATGCTCCCACAGCATTTCCAGGGAAGAAGAAAAGCCTCGAGCTACCTTGATCCCCCTCAGAGAGGCGAACGATTCCTGGCCGGGCCTCAGAGCTATGATGTCTCCTTCTACCAACAGGCCAACTGGCAGGTTGACCAGATGTCCATCTCTGTAGGCCCAGTGCAGGGACCAGGACGGTGCAAAGGGCATATGGAGGTCTGGGTACATGGCATCTGGCCACTTGATCTCCTTGCCATCCCTGAGTGCATCTGAGGAGAACGGAAGGAAGGAAACCACCTCACCCACAGCTCCGTACATCAGCCACCCAGCACACGCCGTGGAGCTCTGCCTGCTCTCCTTCCTTTCCCAAAAGGCTTGCAGTGGCCCACAACACCCGTTCCAACACTGCCCCTCTCTCAAGGTCACCTCCCCTGTGAAGCCTCTCCCACCACTCCAGCCCAGGCCCTTCTACCCCTCTGAACACCTGAAGCTCTTATTCTTTGTACCCTTACTCCATTCAAATACATTTCACAAGCATTGCTGAGGGCTTTGAGGGATGCAAAGGTCAAAGGTGAAGATGACACAAGTCCCTACCCTTGAGGAGGAGCCGCAACCAAAAAGAGAGATGTATGTGGGCAGATAACACAAATCAAGGCAAACACGTGCTCAGGGCATTAGGAAATATCCTAGCGCTGCAGGAGCTCAGGGGAGCCGATGCGATCAGAGGTGGCTTCACGGGAAAGGGAGCTAAGTTTAAGATGGGTCTTGAAGGATGGGCCAGATCCGTCAGCTGGAGCCCAGTGAGGGAGGAGCACGCCAGGCAGGCGGACAGCAGGACAAGGGCACAGAAGCAGGGAGGTCCATGGTGAGTTTGGCACTGGGGAGGAGCTTTTGGGTGATGATGACAGTAAGAGAAGAATCTGGAGAGAAAGGCTGGAGCCTGGCCCAGAGGTTCTGGGCAGCTTTGATAAGCAAGAGGGAGCCAGTGATGGTTCCTGAGCAAGAGACTAAGCTCCCGAGGAGCAGGGCCCATCCTTCTCGGTCACCGTTGTACTTCCCACGCCGGGCACATGGCTGCAGCTAACTGATCATTTCAGAATGAAGCAACCCCTTCTCACTTAGCATTCAAACGTCCACCGCCCAGTCAGGTTCGAGAGAGGTTTCCGACACTAGGTGTTTCATACAAGACCACAGGCCCTTGGAAAGCGGGAACCACTGTCTCTCAGAAGAGCCTAATATTCCCAATCCATAGCTGGGGCTTAACAAACACTATCTGAATGAAAGAACGAGCAGAAATGGGATGGAGCAACTCCTTTCTTTAGGAACAGGGCTGCTCCGTTTTGGGCTCCCGGCTCTGGGCCCCCAACCCTGCGTCTTGCGGGTCTTCAACTTCCCTGGCCCATCTTCCTACCTGCCCCAGCCCAGTACCGCCAGACAAGACAGACTTGGAAGAGAAAACCTCAACTGTCCTCCTGCCAAGACAGGGTCTTCTCTGTTAGTCTCCCGTGGTTAGCAAGCCTGCAAGCCGACTGGGCCACCATCAGCCTCCCTGCAGGCCATGCTGAGGCCACTGCCTGCATGTCCCTGGCTGTCACTGTCCTGCTCAAAAGGGGCAGGGCAGCCTTCTGACTCTCCTGATGCCAAGAGCCCCCAGAATGCTGACCGTAGGCAATGCCACTGTGCTGGACTCCTGGCGGGGACTCAGGAGAAGAGCTCGTAGGGCTGACACATCACAAGGCACCCTTTCCCACCCAGCATGCCTGACCCTCGGCCTCACCTTGGATTTGGTCAATGATCCCTCGGAGCCTCCGCTCTACCTCCCCACGCTTCAGCCGGTCTTGCCGCCCGATGAGGATGAGGTTGAGAAGCAGCAAGAGGAACAGTGCTGAGGCATTCACCAGCTCCACCCCATGGCTGGTGGGAAGAGGTGAGGGGGTACTAGCAAGGAGAGGGGCTCCCCCACCCAGCCAACCCGAGACCCCCCACCCCAGTCCCTTCTGAAAGGAGTGTCTCATTCGGGGGCTGACAGCAGCCAGTCAAAGGACCGAGGGTTCCTAACAAGGCAGACTGGGACTGGGGCGGGGGGAGCGCCCCTGGGGGGGGGTCCCCGGGTGAGAGGCGGGGAGGGAAGGTTACCTGCCCGCCGGCTGGCTCCCATGACAGCCCAGCAGAAGCAGCACAGCCAGCAGCATGAGCGAGGCTCCAGGCCAGTGGAAGCAGGAACAGCGGTTACTGTGGTGCAGGAAGCTGCTTCTCCACAGCTCCTGAGGAGGGGCAGCGGGGAGTGAGGGGCCCGGCGAAGGAGCCGGGAGGCAGCATCCTGCTAGCATCTGGCCGCCCTGCTCCCACGCCCGCCTGACCCGGCCTGGGGCTGCCTCGCTCTCTTGGCTTTGGTCTCGGCTGGGGTCCAGCCGCTTGGGCTCCTGCAGCAAGTGGGGTCAGGACAGCACTCCGCCAGGCAGCCCCAGCTTCCTTCTGAGTTGTAGCGAGGCTTCAGTTGGGTCACGCCGCCCAGCGTGAGCACCGGCTCCCGGGCCCGAGCCTGGGCCTCCCACGCCTCTCTGCCATCCCACCTCGGCTCCGGCTTCCCCGGGAAGAAGCTTCACCTTCCACGTGAGACATTTCTTCCGTTCTTTCAGGTGTCCCTCCAGCACCGTCTCCAGCTGCTCCTGCAGGATGCCGAGGGCCTTCCGGGTAGACAGGCCCAGGGCCAAGGGTGGCTCGCCCTGGAGGAAGCAGGCGAAGCAGGCAGCATTCAGCATCGCCCCGGAGGCCCCAGGGCACTGCCCAGAGAGGCCCTCCATCGCAGGCCGCAGGCCGGGCCCTTGTCATCCCTCCCCGAATCCTCCCTCCTCTTCCTCCACCAGCCCCCCAGCCCTCAGGGTGTTTGCACAAATCTCCACCACGTTAAAAGTCCCCTACTCCTCAAGGCCAAGTTAAAAACAGAAACACACGCAACTTTCTCCACTCAGTGTTTCCTAACCCACCTTCCAAGGCCATCGGCATCTCCCGGCCCCACACACTGCTCTCGCCCCTCACCTCCCCATCGACCTCTGCTGCCATCTGTGTATTTCAGGAGCCAAAAAATAGTGGGTTTTTGGGTTTTTTTAAGTGGGGAAAGGGGAACTAACAAGGAGACACTAGCTCTTCATTGTTCCTAGGTAAAAGCATTAAGAAAAAACCCACCAAATACTGTTTCCACCATTTCACAGAAGGCAGCATATCGTGACACTCCGGCATCAGGAAGGACACAATCTCAGACAAGGGACAACTGCTCCCAGGGAAGGACCTGCGACGCCACCTTCTGTCACCGAGGGTGGCGGAACAGGGCACAGATGGGGTGGTCCTGGGCGGCACTGGGTACCACCCATGCTGTCCTGTGTGAGCCTGGCCTGGCCTCTCCTTACTGACAGCCCCACTCCTGGGCCTCACCCTGTCTTCTCCTTCTCTGACTGGCTCTTCTTTCCCCTCCATCCACCCCACAGCCCATCCCGAGGATATCTTAACAAATTCACGTACGTCTCCAAGACAACCTTGGCCGCCATCGTGGAGTCTCCCACCACACCACCAAGCTTCCAACTCCTGAAGTTTACCTCCAGGCACAGCCCTGAATGCTGACCTGTTTACTCAATGGCTGCACTGCTGTTTCACGGGCCCCTAGGAGTGGATTTGACCCAAACCCTGGAGTGTGGCCCTCCCGGCTGGACAGCCCCGCTCCTGCAGTGACCACCGCCCCCTCCCACCCCTCAGCGTCCAACTCTTCCAAGCCAACGGCAACATCCAGTCAGAGCAGCACACATTGCCTCAACCGACCCCTGTTTATCTTTCCAATCGAGCCCAGACTCCGGGGCAGGACCTGTGATCCACCAGCTTCTCCAGCCTCCTCGCCCGCGTTTCCTCCATTCCTGACGCGAGCCGTGCTCTCCAGCTCGGGTGCAAGTACCTCTACGTGCTTTCCCTCCCTGGACACACGCTCCCGGCCCCAGACACCTCTCTCTTCCCCTTCAAGCCTCAGCTCGAACGTCACCTGCTCTGGGAAATTTTCCCAAAGCCAAGGACTGCACTTACGGGGAGAGGTTTGTATTCCAAGAGCACCCTGGCCAAGCTGGCTCCCGGTCTGCATTGTGGAGAACTGTCATTATAGATTGACTCGTCTGGCTCTCCCACCAGACTGCCAGTTCCTTGAAAACAGGTACTGAATTCTTCCCTCTCCACATCCCTCCAACTACCTGCCGAGACAGTGCCAGGCACACAGCAGTGGCCCCATGGCCACCGGCTGGATGAATGGAAGAATGAGTGCACACATAGCTTCAGTGATCTCGGTGACACGTTAATCAGGGGTTGTCAACCCGGGGTCTGTAGCAGAAATACCTGGGCTTCTAAAAACGTGGATGTCCAGGTCCCACCCCAAACCTACCGAATCAAAACTTCTGAAGGTGAGGCCAATGCACACATTGCATCTGACGCACAGATCCCCAGGTCGGGGGTCCTGGGAAAAAGAACACCCCTGGGAAAGGAGTGCTGGCGGAGAACTGGGTCTTTCCCAAGAGCACCAATGTGAGCTCCCACCAGGAAAGGTTCCTGAGCAAGAGGAGCAAAGCCCTAGACTTGGGGCACTAAGAAAGGGCCTGGGGTTATCTACTGAGTCCTGACCAAGGGTGGCTAAGCTGGTGACTCCCTGACTACCTCAGCTCATGGCCCGCCCCTGCTCCCCCTCTGCCTTCCCTGGGGTCTGCCCTGGCTTTGCCCACTGACGTTCCAGACTTCCTCCTCCATGCCTGTCTCCATAGCCACCGCTCTCCTTGGCAGCCTTGCCGCTCACAGGACACACATCTCCAAGACTAGAAGGGGCTGCTGCTCGGGGGCAGTACCCCAGCAGACCCACCCTGGGAGGACGCACCTGAGTGGAGCCCCCACACTAGCCCATTACTAGCTTTTTCGGCCTGAGGGATGAGGATGGGCTCCAGAGTGAGCCTGGCCCCAAGACTTCCCAGATCCCTTGCCTAAATCTCCCCTAATCCCTGCTCTCCATGCTGGCTTTGGGGGATTATGAAGATAAGAGCTGCTTCTCCCCAGAGGGGATAACTGGTTATTTCAGCTCCGGAAGATATGGCCCTCTGGGCAGAGGGCCCACACCCCAGTATGGGTAAATATTCTACTCCAGAGCATCTACCTCCCTCTGGCAGAGATCCTGGGGCCTTCCTGAGAAGCTGTGGTCCAGGACAGATGAGTATCAGGTAAGCTCAGGTCTGTACGTCTGCCTCCCTGACTCCTGGCACGGAAGGGGAGAAAGTCTCCTGCACGGCGGGAGGAAGAGAGAAGAAGGGGACCAGAGGCCTTCTCGTGTCTAAGGGGCTGGCCCAGGGGGTGACGCCTATTCCACCCAACCCAGGAAAGAAGAGGATTTGGAAAGCACAGCCACTGCGAATGGGGCTTCCCATGTTGCCCCTCCCCACTGCCCCCTTCTCCCTCAGGCTCCACTTTGTGAGCTCTCTCTCCGCAGGGGGAGAGGTGAAGGTTCCCAAGATGCACTTTCCTGGGCCAGGCCTCCAGAAACACTGCAGTGTGAAAATGTTCTGGAGGCAGGAAAGGCTGGCCTGCAGTGGTGGAAAGGCTGCCCGCCAAAGAGACAAGAAACGGGGATTGGCAGGAGAAAGGGAGGGTAAATCCCAGGCTGCAGATCACGTGGGAAGCCAACGGGTCTGGGATGAGGACCATGCTCGGAAGGCAGGCAAGGGCTCAGGGGGCAGCCAGGGAACCAGGGGACCCCCCACGCCCCCAGCCAGGCCTTTAGACTTTGGACATCAGCAACTCCCCTCCTCTTGTCCTGTGGCCGCCCTGACATCCGCCGCCTCATTCCAGGTGCCCCCCTTCCACAACCCAGAAATGGATTCACTCTCTCTCTCTGCACCCAGGTTCCTAGCACCTGCAAACTGCTGCTCTCCAGGTTTGGGAGGTATGGGCCAGAGGGGGCAGATGCTCCTGGGGCAGGGCCAGAGGAGGCCTGCCGAGCTGACTGTGTGTGTCTGCCCACGCATGTTTTGTCCGGCCAGGAACACCAACTCCAGACTGGCGATTAAAGACAGCCTAGCAGAGGGAAAATAGCCACTCTGTAATCACACGCCTCCTGGAGAAAGTGCCTGCCCGGACAGGTAGGCCCTGGGGCAAGGACACAGCCTTCTGGGCCAGCCCACTTTCCATGGCCCCAACCACACTTCTCCAACTGCCTCGGCCCCTCAGTGACATGAAAGAACAACACCTCACCCTGTCTCCAGCAGGAGAGTCCCAGTTACGGGTAAAATCACTGTTTCTCTCATTGTGCTTCCCCGCCCTGCAAGGTAAGAGCCAAAGCTGAGGAACTTGGTGGAACTTCAGCATTTTCAAAGGAAATTAAGAAAGGGGCCCTGGGCCAGCAGGCTCTGCCAGCCTTTCTCAAAATACAAGTTAGGCTGGGCACCCATGGGGAGGCCGTGCAAGGATGCATATGGTTGGTTTGAGAAATAAGGACCCAACTCATACACGTGCCATCTGAAGGTGTCCTTTTCTTGCCTCTGGGGCCAAGAAGGGTGAGAAAAACTGTCCCAGCCTTAAGTACCCAGAGAGAGTAAGAGATTCTTCCTGTTTCCCAGATGTTCCAAATCTCCCACCCCACCCCACTGCCAGACACCTCCCAGGATGTTCCTGGGGAGAGGAGTGATGGCCAAGCCAGAACTCTATACCACAGGGGGGACAGGAGCCCGCCTCTCCACTTACACCAATGCTTTGCAGGTAAAAGCATCCCGCTTTAAATGCTCAGGCTCAACTGGATCCAACAAAGTAACTTGAGGCTCTAGGAAGCCCAGGCTCAGGAGATGCTGGCCACAAATGCCCATCAAGAGCTGGGCTTCTCCTCCCTGTTCCATCATCAAAGGGGGAACCTGGGGGTGGGGGCTGGGGGGCACCTGGGTGGCTCAGTCAGTTAAGCATCCAGTCTTGATTTTGGCTCAGGTCATGATCTCAGGGTCATGGGATTGAGCCCTGTGATGGGCTCCATGCTCAGCGTGGAGTCTGCTTGTCCCTCTCCCTCTCCTTCGTACCACCCCGGCCCCCTGCCCTCTCTCTCTGTCTCTCTCTCTCAAATAAATTAATTAATTAAATCTTTTTTGTTTGTTTGTTTTTCAAAAAGGGGGACACTGAGAGGGCATGGGGATTTAGACGAGAAGGGTGGGGAAAGAACTCTTATCTGTCCAATCAGAACTGCAAAAACCCCGCTACTGAACAGGACCAGTTCTATGGGGCCTGATGCTGAGTGTCTGGGGCAATCTAATGAGTCTTCCCAGAGCCAACACCCCTGAACTCTCTTGCACCCCCTCGGTCAGGTTTCCCAGGTGGCCCAGAGCCAAGAGCCCCTGGCCCCCAGCCCTCGTCCTTTCAGGACTCCTCACAGGCTCTGTCCCCACGGCCACTGTTTTCCTTCCCACTTTCACCTATTTTGGGAGCAGAATGCAGGTCCCATAGGCACAGGTAGATAGGCTACGAATTTAGACTGTGACCCTCAGCCTTGACAACAGCAGAGAGCTAATTAGAACTGGCTGGCCCTGGGGCGCCTGGGTGCCTGTCAGCGTAGCGTCTGCCTTCGGCTCAGGTCATGATCCCAGGGTCCTGCGATCGAGCCCCACGTCTGGCTCCCTGCTCAGCAGCGAGTCTGCTTCTCCCTCTGCCTCTGTGTGGTCTCATGCACGCACTCACTCTCTCTCTCAAGCAAATAAATAAAATATTAAAAAAAAAAAAGAACTGGCTGGCCCCTGAACCAGGTCCCCACCATCACAGCTTTCTGGGACAGTACAGTTGGGGAGGGGACCCAAAGATGGACTCCAACATAATGCCTAAGTCACTGAAGCTGGGTCTTTTGTTAGTAGCCATGATAAACCTCTTCTGAGCTTGGCCAGACACAAATCTTATCTTCAGCCAGGCAAATCAAAGCCTCAAGCTTCTTTGTCTTCAGGGCTCAGGCTGACCTTGGCACTTCCACCCATCTTCTTCCTCTTGCAGCCATGCAGACTAGGAAGAAATCAGCCGGGCCCTGGCTGCTCCTATCTCAATGACCCATGTGGTCCAGCAAAAAAAGAGCCCCCTGCCTGGCCCTGAGGAGGGCTGATATCCAGATCCGGGGCTTCCCATCACCTGTGCATGGAGACCCAGGCCCCAGCATAACTCGACAGGATGCCCCACTGGGACACGCGGCTCCGGTCCTGCTCTGGGAGCCTGGCTGGCAGCTCCCTAGACACACAGGCATCGTGGCTCCCATTCTCAGCCTCCCTCTTCGGTCCTAGCTACCTCATAATCTGAGCACCCATCTTCAAGACTTGTGGCAATTGCTAAGCCAAAGCCTTGCACACAAAGCAGAGAACAAGGCGTTTGTAACAGAAATATAAAACCAAGTTAGCATACTCACTTTGGTGCATTTGCCCTGATGGGGCATCCATAGCTCTGTCTGCTTAAAGAGCATGGGGTAGAGCCTGAGCCACAAGGAGTCAACTACAGAACTTCCAACACCACCCTCAAGGAGAGAGAAGAAGCAGGAACCGGGGGCGGGGGGGGGGTGCGGGGAGAGAGAGAGAGAGAGGAGAGGAAAAGAGGGGAGTGGGCCAGGGAGCGTGGGAGCGATGAGCCGGAGAGGTGCCGCAGGATCCGTGCAGAGTGAAGCTTCAGTCTGCTGATTAATTCAGCCTATTTCCAGTCACGCTGCAGATTTAGGGAGGGAGGAGGAGGCAGTGCAGCAACAGGGCTGTGGGAGGGAGGGAGAGGCAGGCGAGAGGGAGGGAGGAGAAAGTTTGTAGATGCTCTGCCAGATGCCCAGGAGCTTGGCCCATTCATCAGAGGCCACCGAGGGGTGAGCGGACGGGCGCCCGCAGCCAGCCGGGTGTGCACGCATGGGGAGGAGGAGACTGTGCTGGAGATGGCTGTGGGAGCCCGAGGGCAACCATGGCACCCAGGGCTACATGGGCTCTCTCCCCAGACCACCCCTCCTTGGGCCCAAGTCACCGGGCAAGGTAGGTGCCCGCCATCCATGAGAGTTCCCCGAAATCCCTCAGAGACTCCCAGTATGGAGCCACGCCAACAGCAGCTCTTCCCACACTTATAGCTGCAGGAAGGAGGGGAGGGGGGGCCTTGCCCGTTATTAATAGCAGCACATCCAGCATGGAGTGGGGGAGGACTGGCAATTGGGAAGCCTGGAGCAGTGACTTCTAGGAGGCAGAGCAGGGGGCCAGAAGCCAGCAGAAGAATCCAGTGGAAGACTCCAGCAGAGACTCCAGCAGAAGGGGGAAGAGCCCGCAGACAGGAAGGGCTTCTGAGGATTCCAATACCTAAGACCTAACACCTTCCCACCAGGTTGCGGGGGGCGGAGGGGGGAACACCCCCAACAGCAGAGCTCAGTCAGCAGCTGATAAACGCGCAGTCGCATTTAGACACACCTGCCAAAGGGCTTCTGAGACAGGAGAGCCCTGCGGACATGAGGCCTCAACTCCCACCCAGTGACCTGTGGCTCCAGGAGTGGCCAGCAGAGCCTGCGCATCACTCTGGGACCCCGAATTTGACACACGGGCGGCCCTGGAAGTAGACTGGAAACTTCTCAGCCTATGTCCAGGCCACCCTTAGGAAAGGGCTGCAAAACCCCAAGGGAGAGGAAGCAGCCCAACAGGTCCAAGAACTAGAGAACGCAGGCTGGAGCCTGAGCACTTTTCTCCAGGGCCCTGTTTCCCAGACAACACCCACAACACCATCTCCACCATCTCCACCGTCACCAGCTGCAGGGAGGCGAAGAGAGAGCCTCAGCTGAGTTCGAGCCAGCCTCTCCTCGCCCCCTTCCCTAGCACAGCTCCCTGGCCCCCCGCCCCACCTCTGCCAAATCCAGATCTGAATGGGAGCAGGAAAAGAAGGGCCAGGCAGTCCAGAGGGTCAGGGCAGAAGGTTCCCTGAGGTGCAGGCCAGGGGGAGGAGGGCTCAGCTATGCAGTGGGCTGCAGCCTTAGCAAACTGCCAAGGAGAGCCTGGCACCCCCCTGGCCCCTGCTCCCAGGCACACTTCCCCTTAGCTTTCTACCAAGGCCCCGCTCTGTGGGCATCACAACTAGGCAAACTCCGCCTCCTGCATGACAGGCCCTGGAAAGAATAGCTCACAGGGTCTGAGGGCTCTGCAAGACTCCCAACCTGCCCCCTTCCTGCACTGCCCACCTCAGCAAGCAAAAAGGGGTGCACTGCACCCAAGAAACAGAAACCCAGACGCTCACTGCCATAGCACGTCCACCACAGGGGACTGGGGACAGAGGAGAGGAGGTTCTGACGGGGACACGGAGGACTGGGAGGTCACGATGGGGGGTGGGGAGCAGTTAAGCAACCAGCAACAGCCACGCTGATCCCGGGCTACAGCCAGGGGACGACAGGCCCCTTTCGATCAACTTCCGCCATCCAGCTCTCTTCATTCCCACGCCTCCAAGAAGCCCCGACTGTTGGAGCCACGGGGTAATCTTTAGAAGCCCATGTGTACAGCTCACAAGCCATTTCCGGTAAAAACCCTGTCTGGTTCTGTTTCTTAGTTGCTTGTACAACTAGTTCCTCAGCTAGACTATCAGCCTCTCCAAGCCGGGGGCGACCTCCCCAGGGCCCAGAGCTCCACCAACCCCAAGGAGGTATTCCATGAATACGGCTGATGATATTTCTAGTTCAGGACTCATCTCTCCAGAAAGACAAAGAGGATAAGGAAAAATCCTGTAGGAAAAATGGCCCCTGAGAGCTATCCATCCTGGACTCTCAAGTGTTCTTCGCCAGGCTTGAGAGAGAAGCCAGCCCACTGGCTCACAGAACTATACTTCCCCAACTCACTAGGAAGTGGTGTTTCGGCAACAGGCTGGAACCAGGGACAATACTGTCCTGTTTTTGAGACACTCAGCCTCACCCAGGTAGGCCACCACATCACACAATAGTAAAGCTTCTAGAGGGTGCCCCCCTGGAAGTGAACAGCTCTTGCAATTGGACGCAGCAGCCTTGCACCCAGGCTAGGGGAGAAGTCACCATGGCTGGTCCCCTCTGTGCCAATCACTCATAGGATGGACACCTGCAGAGCGGTCAGAGCTACCTGTGAGCAGGAGGTTGCACACACCTGCTTCAGGTTCAGGCCTCCAAGCCTGCTCCACAGCTGGCCCAGAGGCATGGGAAGCCTGGAGCTGAACGAGTCAGCAGGCAGCCGGGCACCCCCAGGGACCCAGCGTGTGGACCCACAGCTCCCTCTCCAGACCTTCCAAGATCTCTTTGGCAGGAAGGTCGCTGTCTGTAAGTTCCGATTGATAAATACTTACTGGGCCCTTGCTGCATGCCAGGCTCTATGCTAGGAGCCAGGGACACTGGGATGAGGTGGGACAGATAGATTAGTTCAATACACGGTGGCAGGAAGAGTGGTGGAGATAGTATGAATGCTGGAAGGAGGGACGTCTGGAGGGGGGAGGAGGGCTTATCAGGAGAAGGTGATGGCTCGTGAAGAAAGAATAGGAGGAGTTTATCAGGAAAAAAGCAGGAGCCTAAATGTGGACAGTGTGCCCAAATTCTGAAGCATTCAGAATGACTAGTGCTAAAGGCCAAGGCAGGGGAGGCTAGGGATGTGGGGCCAACAGGCAGCAGCAGGATGATGGTGAGCTTTGCCCGCCACACTCAACACTCAGCACTCAGCAGGCGGAACGGAGCCACTGGTGACTTTTAAGCAGAGGTGACAAAGGTCAGCTCTGCATTTCGGATACCTTTCTCTGACAGCAAGTGGAGGAAGGAGATCAGAGACAGAGGAACCCATAGGAAGCTGTGGCAGAAGTCCAGCCAAGAGATGGAAGGACCCCCTCTGGGGCAGTCTCCATCACAGGAAGGATACTCTGATGCCAGCAAATCGACTGCCAGGCCAGGGCAGCGTACCTGGAGGCTGGGAGGCATCCTGTGTCAGGCTGGGAGGAGGGGGCCGACTTTGCGGGTGCCTGGGCCTCCTGGCTCCTCACCTCCAGCTGGCTTTGCAGCTGTGTTTGGAGTCTGACTGGGGAGTTCTTCCCTAACCACAGAGAGGGTGCCCGACCATACTCAACATGGCTCAGCAGGTTGGGGCAGAGCCCTAGCAAAGAGCAAACAAACGAAATTACACACCCATGGGCAAGAAGTGGAAGACTGGCTCGGAGCCAACCTAAATCAGAAACCTGCTCCCATGTCGCTGTGCTCACCGGTCCCCACCCTTTGTCCTGTGCTCCCAGCTCCCCGAGAGCTTCCCAGCCCAGCAACAGCATCCTCTTGGCGGGGGGGGGGGTCGCCATCCCGTACCCCCATCCTCAGAGCCACACCCCCTCTCTCATTTTGGTTTAAAGCCCCCCAAAAGAGGACTTCCCAGGCCAACACAAGTAGAGAGAGTCCAACAGAGCCACACAGACAATACCCATCAGGGCACCAAGCACGGCCCTACCGTGTGCTTCTCCTTCGGATCCATGGGCCCAGAGTACTGCAGGCATGCCCAGATGAATGCGGTCACCCCCAAAAGGAAGGCTCCTCCCCAGCATGGACAAGGCCCAGTGACTCTGTCACAGTCGAAGCATCTGGAGAGAAAGAAGGGAGACACCCCGTAAGTCCAGGTTGCTGAGAAACACGACGGTGTTGTCTACACAGTAGAGTGGCACATGGAAAAGACTGGAGCCTGGGGCACCGGAGCTCAGCCGGCCCTGTCCTGGCAACACAGGTTCCCTAGGCACTCAGCTTCAGGCGGATTCCACTCTGAGGCTGGGAGGGAGAGGGCTTCCCCAAGGCGCGCTGGAGGGCTGAAGCTTCCCTCCTTCGAACCCTCATTTTCAGAGACACACTATGTTTTGCTCTGCATATGCCCTTACTCGCTGACTTGCAGCAAGCAGGAAAACCCTTGGCTTCCCAGCTTTTAAAAAATAAAGATTACAGGGAGCCTGGGTGGCTCAGTTGATTAAGAATCTGCCTTCGGCTCAGGTCATGATCTCGGGGTCCTGGGATCAAGTCCCACGTCAGGCTCCCCACTCAGCAGGGAGCCTGCTTCTCCCTTTCCCTCTGCCCCTCTCCCCTGCCTGTGCTCTCTCTCGCAAATAAATAAATAATAAATAAATAAATAAATAAATAAATAAAAAGAAGCCCAGCCTTCCAAGTTCCCACCTGAGCTTTAAAAAAAAAAAAAAATTAAAATAAATAAAATAAAGACTAGGGGTGCCCAGCTGGCTCAGTTGTAAGTTTGAGCCCAAGCTGGGTGTAGAGATGACTTAAATAAATAAAAACTTTATTTATTTATTTTTTTTAAAGATTTTGTTTATTTGACAGAGAGACACACAGCGAGAGAGGGAACACAAGCAGGGGGAGTGGGAGAGGGAGAAGCAGGCTTCCCGCGGACCAGGGAGCCCGATGTGGGGCTCGATCCCAGGACCCTGGGATCACGACCTGGGCTGAAGGGAGACGCTCAACGACTGAGCCACCCAGGCACCCCAATAAATAAAAACTTTAAAAAAAAAGTAAAGATTAGGAAAACAATTAATTAATTTTAAAAATAAATAAAGGTTAGCATTAAGGTAAACTGGACCCCACGCACACGTGCCCGCACCCACGCACCCACCCACGCACCCCCCCCCACACACGTGCCCACGTGCCACAGAGCTGCGCCTCTCGTGTGCTTTGCTGACAGGGCAGTGCTCACCAGGCACCTGGGCAGACACCTGCCAGGATGGGTGATCCAATCTGACAACACCCCCCACAATCCCGGACCCTCACCCATGCATCCTGGCAGCCAACCCACTTTAACCATTTCAGGCCAGGGAGTGTTTGGGTAGAGTGCCCCTGAGTAATCTGGTTTGGTGCCCAGTGACAACTTGTGGAGAAGGCACTGACCTGCTGACAGGGGCAGTTCTTTCTGGGGCCTGTAGCAGAGCCTCAGTAAGTGGAGCTGGTCAGAAGCCCAGGAGAACTGATCCATAAAAGAGCTGTCTAGAAACAAGAAAAAAGCTGCGTCCAGAGACCCCAGCCAGGAGGCCAAGGCTCTGCGGCCACCAACCCCACGCCAAAACGCCACATGATCCCTCACAAGACAGCATTAGTACTGCCCCCCGGGCCTGCGCTTCCCCGTCTCTCCCAACCCCTGCAGGCCCTCTGCAGCCGAGGCTTTCGGAGCTGAGTGAGCTAGCCCCGGAGGGTCAGCCACAGACAGGGACGCTGGAAGCAGCCGCGCGCAACGCACTGACATTTGGTCTTTGGCAGCCAACGGAAATGGGATCCTGAGAGGACGAATGCGCATCTCCCCAAGGCCGCTCTGACTCCCGCAGCCCAGGCCCTGTTTACGAGTACAGCTCAAGGTCCCCATGCACCCCGTCCCAGCAGGGGCTGGATGAGGCAGTCGCCACACAGGGCAAGGCACCAGAAGCCAGATGGGGACTGTGCTTGGCTCCTTCTGCCAACACAACAGGAGTGAAATAACTCTGCTGGACTTGGAACCGCAGCGTGCAGAGGGCAGCCAGGAGCAGGACATTTTTCTAAGAGTCTGTTTTCCCATCACTCCATAGGTGGGATTCTGGGAAAGAGCTGTCCTCAACTGTCTGATCTGAAACCAGCAGCTAGATCCTTAAAGGGCCAGTTCTACCCCTGGTCCATTGTGAGAGAAAGCACAGGTTTCAAAGCCAGATACCCCTGGTTCAAATCCTGGCTCCAACATGTATCAATCCTCAGCAAATTACTTGTCTCTCTGAGCCTCAGGGTCCTCATTCATAGAATGATGCCTATCTCACAAAGAAGCAACAAGAATGACATGAAATATTATATGCAGAGGGTCCAGTACAGTAGTTAGCAAATAGTAAGTCTTAATAAATACTTGCCATTACTATCACCAGGAAATGAGTAATATGAACAAAGTGCCACCTAGGTGAAGAATAAAGACTCAAAAGGAAGGAGAAGAGGGGTGCCTGGCTGGCTCAGTAGGTAGAGTATGGGACTCTTGATCTCGGGGTCATGAGTTCAAGCCCCAGGCTGGGCCTAGCGCTTACTTAAATGAAGAAGAAGAAAGGAGAAAGAAGAAAGAAGAAAGAAGAAAGAAGAAGACAACGATGACGAAGAAGAAGACGACGACGAAGAAGAAGACGAAGAAGAAGAAGAAGAAAAAATAAATGAAAGACATAAAGATTGCAAAGAAACATGTAAAACTGTCTTTATTTGCAGAAGACTACATCATATAGGAAAAATTCTAAGGGACAAAACAAATAAGTATGCAAGGTTACAAGATACAAGGTCAAAATACAAAATACAAATATAGATTAAATTCCTGTATGCTATAATGAAATATAGCGAATACTTAGGAATGACTTTTAAAAACATATATGTAAGGCCTGTTGAAATTCAAGACCTAAATAAATAGAGAGATACGCCATGTTCGTAGGTTGGAATTAATATTAAATAAATATTAATTAAATTAAATGCTAACATTTATATTAATATATTCATCCCATAACCCTGAGATCATGACCTGAGCCAAAACTAAGAGTCAGATGCTTAACTCACTGAGCCACCCAGGTGCCCCCAATATCAATACACACCCATTAGAATGATTACAATGAAAAAGACTGACAATATTTAGTGTTGGTGAGGATATGAGCTCATAAATTGCTGGTGGGAAGTCACGTGGTACACCCACTCTGGAAGACATTTTGGCAGTTTCTGATAAAGTTGAGTATCCACTCACTAGATGTCCCAGTAATGAAAATATACTTCCTCAAAAAAAAAAACTGTATACAAATGTTCATGGCATCTTTATTCAAAATAGCCAAAAGCTGGAAACAATCCAAATGTCCACTCACACGTGAATGAACTGTGGTATATCCATACAATGGAATTCTGCCCAGCAACCAAACAGAATGAGGTATTGATACACACAACAATGTGGCTGAATCTCAAAACATTTGCTGAGTGAAAGGAGCACAAAAGAGCACATAGCATATGATCCCATTTCCATAAAACTTAGAACAGGCAAAATTAATCTATAGTGACAATAAGCAGATAAGGGGTTAACTAGGGTCGTGGGGAGGGAAAGACTGCAAAGGGCACAGGGGTCTTTTGTTCAATATCTTGATTGTGGGTGGTGGTTACAAGGGTGTATACATTTGTCAAAATTCTTTGAACTATATACTCAAGTGCATTTTATCATGTGGAAATAATGCCTCAGTAGGTAGGGTTGATTTCTAAAAAGTAAGGTGGGATCTAAGATCCAACTAAATCAGTTCTACCAACCTCTGAAATGCCTAGCACATGCAAGTCTTGGTGGATAATAAAGAGAAGGGTTGATGAAGGAAACAGACATTTATCCAGTGCCTACCGTGTGTAATAACTGTATGCATTCACTAAGGGTAAGGAATGTTCCTGTTTTCACAAAAGTATAAAATATGGTCCCTTCACAACAGGGATTTATAATACAGCCAGGTTTTGAAGATTCTGAGAAAATATAACTAATATTCAAGTTGGCATTGACATACTAAATGAGAATTGCAAACAGGGGTGGGGGGGCCAGGAATCCCTTCCTAGAAGAGGCCAAGGCCCAGGGCACCTGGGTGGCGCAGTTGGTTGAGCAGCTGACTCTTGATTTTGGCTCAGGTCATGATCTCAGGGTTGTGGGATCAAGCTGTGCTTCAGGCTCCACGCTCAGCTTGGAGTCTGCTTGAGATTCTTTCTCCCTCTCCCTTCTGCCCCTCCCCCAGCTCACGCTAAATAAATAAATAAATAATTTTTCAAAAACGATTTTATTAATTCATTTGAGAGAGAGTATGTGAGTAGAAGAGAGAGGTAGAGGGAGAAGCAGGCTCCCCACTGAGCCGGGAGCCCGATGCAGGGCTCGATCCCCGGACCCGGAGATCAGGACCTGAGCCGAAGGCAGATGCTTAACCACTGAGCCAGCCAGGCGCCCCTAAATAAATAAAATCTTAAAAAGCAGCAGCAGCCGGCCAAGGCCCAAGCAGTGCACTTAGGAAAGCCTCAGAGCAAGAAGAGGGAGAACAACCACAGCAAGAACTAGGGTCTCAACCAAGGCACCGAGGAAGAAAAGCATGGAGCCTTTTTGAAAGATGGTGATCTGGGGCGCCCAGGGGGCTCAGTCGGTTAAGAGTCCGACTCTTGATCTCAGCTCAGATCTTGATCTCAGGGCGTGGAACCTGCTAAAAAAAAGAAAGATGGTGATCTGATCTGTTCAATTAGAGCAGAAGACCTAAGTAAGAGAGAAGAAATGAAGGACGACATCAAGCAGGAAATCAGGAGCCAAAATGCCCAGGCATATGGAGGCCAAAACAAAGTGACCGTGGGGAGGGGCGCCTGGGTGGCTCAGTCGTTAAGCGTCTGCCTTTGGCTCAGGTCATGATCCCAGGGTCCTGTCTGTGGGAAGCCTGCTTCTCCCTCTCCCACTCCCCCTGCTTGTGTTCCCTCTCTCGCTGTGTCTCTCTCTGTCAAACAAATAAAATCTTTAAAAAAAAAAAAAGTGACTGTGGGGAGTCACCGAAGGTTCCTGAGAGGGTCCCAGTATTTTAAGAGGGTAGAGAATGGATCAGAGGGGGAAGGGAAAGAAATTACAGGCAGAAGAAGTAGAAGAAAATTATAGTAATCTTGGTTTGCCATGACGAGTCTCTAGACAAAGGCAGCATAGTAGGCCGTGGAAACAAAGGGATGGATGCTTCCTGCTGCCAAGTTCAGAACCAGCATCAGAAAGAGCTAAGGGGGGCGCCCGGGTGGCTCAGTTGTTAAGCGTCTGCCTTGGGCTCAGGTCATGATCCCAGGGTCCTGGGATCGAGCCCCGTTTTGGGCTCCCTGCTCAGCAGGAAGCCTGCTTCTCCCTCTCCCACTCCCCCTGCTTGTGTTCCTGCTGTCGCTATCTCTCTGTCAAATAAATAAATAAAATCTTTTAAAAAAAATTAAAAATAAAAAAAGAGCTAAGGGGGTGCCCAAGGTTCAGGTTGAGGGTGAGCTAAGGAGTTGGCTGTCCTGCTACTTCCTTCCAACACAACCTTCATTAGCTGTGCTTTCCACCGAAAACACAATGGGGTGGACTGCATTCAGCTGAGTCGCTGTGCCCAAAGGGTACTAACTGATGGACTGATTTCAGCTGGAGGGAGGTTTTTAATAACAAGCCTCAGGGTTCTATCCTTGGTGGCATCCTAATCAATATATTTTTTTAAGATTTTATTTTTTATTTATTTGACAGAGAGACACACAGCGAGAGAGGGAACACAAGCAGGGGGAGTGGGAGAGGGAGAAGCAAGCTTCCTGCAGAGCAGGGAGCCCAATGCGGGGCTCAATCCCAGAACCCTGGGATCATGACCCGAGCCAAAGGCAGATGCTTAATGGCTGAGCCACCCAGGCACCCTGAGCGATATCTTTTACGTAATTGGAGCTGTATAAAAAAATGGAACAGGCTGCCCTGAGTGGCAACGAGCTCCCCAGCACTAGAGGGATCCAAGCAGAGGCTGGGAAATTATGGAGATAATAAATACATCAGGTAGCAAATAAGAGATAACCTTTTATGACGTGTTCTAACCCTGAGAGACAAGGAGATCAAGAAATCCAGCAACTTCTACACATGAAAAGATGCTCAGTTCCACTTATAATAAGAGACATCCACATTAGACTACCCCAAGAGAACAAAGTTTGGAAGGCCTTCCCCACCAACTTCAAAGCTTATAAAGCCACAGTAATTAAGGCAATGTGGTATTGACTTGGTAATAGAAAATCCAAAAATAGATGCAGATATATATGGTCAATCGATTTTTGAGAAGGCTGCAAAGGCAGTTCGATGGAGAAAAGGTAGTCTTTTCAACAGACTGCACTGAAAAAATTGAACATTCAGATTTAAAAAAAAGAACTTGGAAATACAGCTTGCACTATATACAAAAATTAACTAACAATGGATCCTACACCTAAATGTAAAATTATAAGAAAAGATAGGAGAAAATCTTGGTGACTTTGGTTTAGATTTCTTAAATATCAAAAGTATATCCCACAAAAGAAAAAACTATTAAGTTGGAACTGAGTGGCTGGAGACAAGAGTGGGAGGGGAGGAATTTGACTGTATATATTTTTGTACCTTTTGATTTTCAAACCATGTGAATGTATCAAATGTATCTTTAGAAAGTTAGCAGCCTCGCACTTCTGGATATATGCCCAGATGAAGTGAAAACAGGGACTCCAACAACTATTTGTACCCCCATGTGCATAGCAGCATTATTCACAATAGCCAAAAGGTGGGAGCGACCCAAGTGTCCATCAATAGATGAATGGATAAATAAAATGTGGTCCACACGTACAATGGAATATTACTCCACCTTAAAAAGGAAGAATATTCTGCTATATGCTACGACATGGATAAACCTTAATGACCTTACACAAGGACAAATGTTGTGGGATTCCTGTTATTTGAGGTTCCTGGAGTAAGCAAACTCATACAGACAGCAAGTAGAATGGTGGTTTCCAGGGCCTGGGGGCAGGAGGGGAGATGAAGATGTAGTGCTAATGGGGACAGAGTTTCGGTTTGGGCAGATGAAAAAGTTCTGGAGATGGATGGCGCAGATGGTCAAACAGTGTCAATATACTTTATGCCACTGAATTGGTTAAAATCGTCGATTTTATGTTATGTATATTTTTCTACAATAACAAAAAAATCACTAACTTCTGATTCTGATTTTGCAATTCGCTGTGGTTTATGTTACTAAGCAATATTCTCCCCTTAAGGATATAGATGTTCTTTCAAACACACCTTTGATTTTCTCTCCAGTGTATATCTTTTCCAAGTATCTCCCAATATTTTTCTGTTCACCTCCCCACTAATGGATATTGCTATCACGCATCTCTTTCTCAAAAGGATCCTGAAATTAAGAAAACTGGGATCATATAATTACACTAAGATTTCTGGTTTCCCAAAGGCCGCTGTAAGCCCTGAAAGGGTCTCCTTCCTTTGGGCACCCCCGACTCCCCCACCACTTGGGTCTCCGAGGCTAGGGAAACCCAAAGCAATCAGTGTGAGATGGGCCCAGCTTGAGACAGGCATCCTGGCGGGTCTAAATCTAGTCCTTACCCTACTTGCCGTGCCATGTGACCAATACTGTTTCCTCCTGTCTCGGCAGCCACAGGCAAAGCTTATTATTACACAAACCCCTGATCACCAAACCACACATTCTGGCTGGCGGGTCAGTTCCGGAAGAAAAACATTCCTGCTGTAGCTCTGGCCTACCCTTTAGTTCACCTGTGCTACTAAAAACAAATCCAGGCTTGGAAACCAGGGTTCAAACAATGTTTTTAAAGGAGCCTAGCTTTTAGGTAAAGAAAGACACTCTCAAGGAAATAATACTGACACAGTAACAAGATAAAGAATATTGACACACATTTACCAGTGGAGAAGTGCCACCCATGACCTAGAACCTTCTCACTTGAACAGGAATGGATTTAGAGGCTTTGGGTCTTTCCAACTCGGACTGCTTGTAAGAGCTCATCCTCCTTGGAGCGCCTGGGTGGCTCAGTCGGTTGAGCCGCTGCCTTCGGCTCGGGTCATGATCCTGGGGTCCTGGGATCAAGCCCCGCATCGGGCTCCCTGTTCAGCGGGAGTCCTGCTTCTCCCTCTCCCTCTGCCTGCCTCTCTGCCTACTTGTTCTCTCTCTCTCTGTGTCAAATAAATGAATAAAAAAATCTTAAAAAAAAAAAAAAAGAGCTCATCCTCCTCTCACCAGGTAAGGTTCAAGAAAACCTTCGGTATAGGTAGTATTTACACTAGCGCTCCTCCCCCTCCCTAGAAATTGCTTCCCAAGGCCAATGTTAGGGAAAGAGCAGCGGGGAAGAACCAAAGGATCATGACCTTCACTTCTCATTAGTTTGGCAGGAGTTAAGCTTTCCAAAAGGCTGATTCTCAACACTTGGACCTGGCACTCCCTAGCAACTCCTCAAAATAGAAATGTGAAGGGCTTTCTGTTTTCTTCCATCTCACTGCCCAGCCCTGGCTCTCTCCCTGTCTAATCTTCTGATGTCGGGTCACCACAAAAACAAGGGGCAGGGTAGGGGTGGGGGGAAGTTCAAGGGCAGTTAACTCTCAATTATTTGGCAGCTGATTATCAAGGGGATGGTTTGTACTTCACCTCCCTAGTGAAGGAACTGTTCTGTGGTATCCACCAGTTTCTCTATTTGAAGTTCTAACAAAAAGAACCAGTGAACAAGGAAGTTAAAGCTAACACAGCAGCTAAAATAAGACTACAGAGAATTTGTGGATTTTATTTGAACATGCTGCCCCTGTTCCAGGGTTAATAATAGGCTACATTCTGATGTGTTCTGATCTGTAGAGTGATTTGCACACTTTTTTATTCCATGGGCCATTTTTATTTGATTCTAGATAAGAACCTTACCTGTGTCATTGCAAAATAAAAAAAAAATTAAAACTACCTGTTAGGATACTAAGATCAGGGGCACCTGGGTGGCTCAGTTGGTTGAGCGACTGCCTTCGGCTCAGGTCATGATCCTGGAGTCCCGGGATCGAGTCCCGCATCGGGCTCCCTGCTTGGCAGGGAGTCTGCTTCTCCCTCTGACCCTCCCCCCTCTCATGTGCTCTCTCTCATACTCTCTCTCTCAAATAAATAAATAAAATCTTTAAAAAAAAAAAAAAAGAATACTAAGATCAGCCCTTCTTTTGCCAAGATTACCATAAAGACATACCAGAGTGGTACTTCTTCCTTCCGTGGTTCTCAAGCTTTTTCTGCCTCCACACTGTTCTTATAAAAAACCCATCCCCATTAATAACACTACAACATTATAATTGTTTCCCCCAAAAAACGAAGGAAGAGGCTACCTTGCTCTGACTCCTTGCCTTCCTGCCCTCTCAAATGATAATCATTGAAATCATTTCACCCCAAAATATATAGAGAGACCACAATAAATATTAATACAAGAAATCAGTCAGGGAATACCTGCTCGTTACTTACAAATAATGAATGCAAAAATGTATTAAGAACCTAGTAAGTGCAAGCCCCCGTGCCATATATACCTAGAGATAGAGATCCTCCACATACTATCTCTAATGCAAGCCATCACTCTGCAAGAAGCTCAGAGAAGTTAAGGAACTTGATTTCTCAATCACACCTAGAAAACAACTGATCTGGTGGACAAAGAACTTAAGAATCTGGACTTCAAAGTTCTCCAGTCCTGACTCCAGGTGACCCTGGCCCTGCCCCTTTGCCTCTCCCAAAAGTTACGCTCCACCTTTGTAAAATAAAAATGTGAAAACTCCTCCCTCCCCACTTCCACCGTCTAAGAGTACCCGGGGAATGACTGAAGTATGTCGCTGCAGCTGAGTGCGTTGGACAAAGCATGAGAAAACTCTCATCTCCTCCGATGCAAAAATCACAGGCCTGAAGGAAAACTAGATTCAGTACAAAGCTCCCTCCTTTTTTCCCCTAGAGCCACACAAAAACTCGGAAGAGAGGGTGGGATGCAGCAGCACGTGACCAAATCAACGAACACGCCAAAGTGCAGCCTGTGGTTCCACACCAATGAAAGAAGGGCAGGGTTTCCCTGGCATCTGGCACCCGGCACCCGGCAGGGGCTCACATCGTGGCACGCGAGGGACTGCGAGACTGGACTTCAGGGGTGTGCGGCTGGGGAAGGAGGGCACAGCGCACAGCACGGCAGTCGGTTTGCAGGATGGCAAGTATGTTCCTACAGTTGCTTCTAAGGAGTCTTTAAACGTTTCTGGAAAGACGGAAAGAAAAAAAAAGGGCAGGGCACGCTCCAGCTGCACGGTCGCCGCTCTGGGCTAAGGCCCTTCGGCTCCATCCGCCTGGACTCGGGACGCGCGGTCAGCACGAGGGCCCGGGCAGCAGCTGAGAGCGCGCGCAAGGGGCGCAACGGTCTGAACTGGGGCCGGGGATGCGGGTCCCCAGAGGCCCGTAAATACGCCGGGCGTCGGCGTTGGAAGCCCCCTGAGCCAGGGCCCAGACACCACAAGACAGGGACAGGGATTCATTGTTGGCAGGAGGCTTCGATCTGACGCGGGAGCCCCAAAGGGCCAAGCGAGGACCGAGGGCAAGTGTGAGCACCTGGGGAAAGGAAACGGCCAGGAGCTGGAGGCAAGAGCCCGTCCCTTGACTCCCCCTTCGAAGAGATCCCCCGAGGCCAATTCTTGGGTGCACACCCCAGACTCCTCTCTTTGGCCAAGAATCCAGAGGGCGTGAAGGCCGAGCCCCACGCCCCCTTGCTTCCCTGCCCCCCTGGCTTCGGGCCACGGGCCTTCTCGTACTTACCGGGGCCCGGGGGCCTGTCTTCCTCGCCCGCGTCCTCTTCCCCCCCTGCCCCCTCCTCACTTCGCGTCCCCTCCTCCAGGGGCCGCGGCCATGTCCGTTGCTGGCAACGCTAAGGGGGCTTGCCGCCCTCCTCGGACAACCCGGACGCCGCTAGCAGGCTAAAGTTCTGGACGCCGATTGGTGGAAATCCGAGACGGGTGGAGATTCCTGGCTTCTTACTGGCTGTGGGGAGCGCTAGGCTGTAGCTGAGACAGTCCCTCTGGGAGCCTGGCGGAATTAAGGGCCGAGTGATACCGGCGGGAGAGTAGGGACCCACTGTCCATGCATGGGTGTGTTCCTCTGGCGTTTTCAGGTGCAGAGGCCCTGACTAGAGGCGAGGGTAACGGCTTCCACCTCAATCACTTTTCCTACGTATATCCCAAGTGATTTTTCTTTTAAAAATCAGCCCTTTTGTAGAACGCCACTATCTCCTACATCTTCTAAGCTCCCCTCTTGTTGCTGTGAACAAATGCCTAGAGACACCTAGCTCAGAGACCTCGGAGAGAGTCCCCCAGAGACTAATACTGCAACCAAACCAAAGCTGGAAAACCTAAGGCAATACTTCAGTTTTCCCTCCAGCTCAGCTGTACTCTAAAGGGGAAAACAAGTTAAAAAAAAAATCCCCCCCCCCCCCCCCCCCCGATAATTAAAGAAATCGCTTGGGAGAGCTCTCTTGGGAAAACAGTGCGAGCCTGTGTCAGTATTTACTTCAGTTTTCCCAGAGATGGAAATCTGGAGACTTGGTTTTTTGTGTCTTGTTTTTCGATCTGTTTATAAAATCAGAAGAGGGTCATGGCTGGCCCTGGGAAGTAAGAGCCCCTTTCCCCTATTAATGAATTTAATTATGTAATTAAAATCTCTCTTCTCAGCTGAACAGGAAGACATTCTGGTACCTAGTCTTGTGCGTTTCAACTCTTTTAGCAGTTGCTTAAAACAGTGATAGAATCATGTTACCCTCATGCACACAAAAATCTGCAGTTTATCTTTGCAAATAGATGTCTATCTATACAAAGAGATCTCTGTATCCTGCTTGACATTCAAAGTCCCTCATAAATCAACTCAGATATATGTTTCCAGGCTAATTCCCCACAGGCCAAACTATTCCTGCAGCCACATAGATTGACCATCTCCCAAATGCATCTGGAGCCCTCCCACCTCTGCTCTTTTGCCCAAGAGGTTCCTACCCTTTGAAGATTCCTTCCTGCCAATAAAGCCAACCTTCAAATACACGCCCATCCTGTAAATTCACCTCCAACGCTCCCTGCCTCAAAGACTTCCCTGACTTTTAGTCACTGAAATTCTCTCTCCAATGCTGTGCCTCTTTGTGTCCCCATGCTACCCATACAAAAGTAATGCTTTGTACGGTATTATTTTTGTAAGACCTGAAGCACCCTAAAGGCAGCTGGCTTATCCTGGCAGTCCTCACAGCACCTTATTCAGAGCCTGTACCCAGTAAATGTTTGCTGAATTGAACTAGCCAATTGCCTGTGCTTTATGTCTCTCCACTTCATCCCGGAAGGTTTACGTGGCTACATTTGGAAGGTGAACAAATGTAACATAGTCATCCTGCCCTGCTCCACCCTGTACCCCAGTCATCTCTGGCCACACTTGTTTCTCTGCTCCACTGTAGTTTATGAATATCACTCAACAAACTTAAACTGTGTGCCTACCAGTTTCACAGTCCTTCACCCTCTGACTATCCCCTCTGTCAGTACTCCCAGGCATAACACTTGGCAGAAGAAGAAAATCAAGCCAAAACATGCCAGTGCACCCAGTCTAAGTTCACCCTGGCAAGACTTTTTGCAGCTCTGAGGTCCCTGTGACTATGTCTTGATGGCTGTCTAGCGATACCAGGCAACTGTACCAGTCCTTCATTTTTCTGGAGCCTCCTCTGTCTCTGTACCAAAATAACCTCGAGGCGAGGGGTGCCTGGGTGGCTCAGTCGGTTAAACAGCCAACTCTTGATTTCGGCTCAGATCATGATCTCAGGGTCGTGGGATCAGTCCTCACTTTGGGCTCTGCGCTCCGTGTGGAGTCTGCTTGAGATTCTCTCTGTCCGTCTCCGACTGCCCCTCCCTCTGCTCTCTCTCTCTCTCTCCAATAAATAAATCTTAAAAAATAATAATAAACAATGCGGAAACCAAGGCCTTCCAGTGGAGATTTCTCATCTACTTCTATTTCTTTCTCAACATTCCTCCAAAAAAGACAGACCCCTCTTCCTTTCCCCATCTGTATCCTCAGTCCCTTCCCCTACCCCAGCCTCACATGCTATCTCCCATCCCCAGGCCTCAGTTTATCCTGTTCACTGGACCTGAAATGCCTCTCATGTCCTTTCTTCCTGGCTAACTCCCTATCATCCTTGATGATGATGATCCTCTCTGTTTGCTCCTCATTCCCTCAGACAACAGTATCACTTCACTTAACACATTGTTTTCTGTCTTTGACAGGAAGATAATAAGGCATTACTGTCAACGATATACACTTCAATTTAAGGGGCCCCTGGGTGGCGCAGTCAGTTAAGCATCCGACTCTTGATTTTGGCTCAGGTCATGATCTCAGGGTCATGGGATTGAGCCCTGTGATGGGCTCCGCACTCAGCGTGGCGTCTACTTGAGATTCTCCCTCTCCCTCTGCCCCCCACCAAATAAATAAATAAAATATTTTTAAAAAATAAAAATAGGGGTGCCTGGGTGGCTGGGTCAGTTGAGCGTCTGCCTTTGGCTTAGGTCATGATCTCAGGGTCCTGGGATCGAGCCTCATGTCGGGCTCCCCGCTCAACGGGGAGTCTCCTTGTCTCTCTCCCTCTGCCCCTCCCCTCTGCTTGTGCTCGCTCTCTCTCTCTCAACTAAAATCTTTTTAAAAATAATAAATATTTAAAAAATTAAAATTACAATAAAATTGGAACACCTGGCTGGCTCAGTTGGGAGAACAAGACTCTTGATCTCAGGGCTATGAGTTTGAGCCCCACATTGGGTGTACAGATTACTTAAATAAATAAAAATCTTTTAAAAAATTGCAATAAAATAAAGAAGACCTGTCATGCCGTAAATAATAATAGTAATAGCAATAATAATCACGTGTGAGTATCCACAGTCTCTTCTTTTCCTCTCACCTGCCAAGGAAGATTCTATCTGTGCCTATTAGGTTCCAAGATCATCAGAATAATAGGGAAAAGGTAGGACTGAAGGGCCAAGTCTTGAGTGATTTGGTTTACTTTTGGTAGGATGAGGAATTACTAGCTGATGAGAGCAGAAGAGTTGTTCTTTTGTTTTTTTACCACCACCAACCTCCTTCCCTCCTCTAGCAGATGAGTTTTAAAAGAGCACAGGAACGGGCACCTGGGTGACTCAGTTGGTTAAGTGTCTGCCTTTGGCTCAGGTCCTGATCTCAGGGTCCTGGGATCGAGCCCAGCATCCCTGCATCGGACTCCCTGCTCAGCTGAGAGTCTGCTTCTCCCTCTCCCTCTGCCCCTCCCCCACTCATGCTTGCTCGCTCACTATCAAATAAATAGATGAGTGGAGGAGCAAGTGAAGAGAGAAGAGCCAGGATGGTATGGATTGGAGAAGAGGTGGAGGAAGTTTGGAAAGACAGGAGAAAGAAGCTTTATGGCAGAGTGAGAAATACCTTCGGTGAAGAGGTGAAATACCTTTCCCCTATTATTTCTGATACTGTATGATTATCAGTGATCAGGGAGCCTAATAGGTAAAGACAGAATTCTCCTCAACAGACAGGAGAAGGGAAAGAGAATGAACAATAGGATTTTAAGAAGATTTCTTACAAATCACTTATGTAATTCCCCCTTTGGCATTTTTCTCAAGAGACTGCAGTGAGATTTGAAGTTGCTTTGTGATTATTTTTGGATGCCAACTAACATTTCTTTGTATATGATTCTGTATAGAGACTGGACATATCCATCGCTAGGCTTCATATAGTTAATAGCATTATCTATTTATGTGTCATTTCTCTTCTTGTGAGTCCCTCGAGTCAAGGACTGTGTCTTACTCATCTTTGTGTCACTATTGATTAACGAAGTGCCTGGCACACCGCAGATGTCTGATAAATGTTTGTTGAATAAATGAACTGGTGTCCAATTATCCTCTTTCTCTAGCATCTTCATTTGCTTCCTTTCTGTCGGCTCATTTTCTCCCAGCTGTATAAACACTCATAGTTCTCGCCTTAAAACAAAAGGGGAGGGGCAGTAGAGGGAAAAGAGAAGGAGAAGGGGAGGCCTTCCACACTAAATGGTCTGATCTATGTGACACTTGTCTGCCATATAGCTAATGAATCTGCCAGCAAGAAGCTCCCTCTCCTTCTGCAACGTAATGTCTCTGTTATACGAGCCAGTGCAATAACACGTAGTGACGTCACCTTAGATATTACAGCCAACAGACAACCACTGCTTCATGTTTTGTGACCCTGTGGAATATTTAAGAGAGAGAGCTAAAAATCTCAATGTCATTTGACTTTAAAAACGTGTTTCAGGATGGGCGCCTGGGTGGCTCAGTTGGTTAAGCAACTGCCTTCAGCTCAGGTCATGATCCTGGAGTCCCGGGATCGAGTCCCGCATCGGGCTCCCTGCTTGGCAGGGAGTCTGCTTCTCCCTCTGACCCTCCTCCCTCTCATGCTCTCTGTCTCTCATTCTTTCTCTCTCTCAAATAAATAAATAAAATCATAAAAAAAAAATCTAAAAAAAAAACGTGTTTCAGGGTGCCTGGGTGGCTCAGTTGTTGAGCGTCTGCCTTTGGCTCGGATCATGGTCCCAGGGTCCTGGGATCAAGCCCTGCATCGGGCTCCCTGCTCTGCAGGAAGCCTGCTTCTCCCTCTCCCACTCCCCCTGCTTGTGTTCCCTCTCTCGCTATGTCCCTCTGTCAAATAAATAAATAAAATCTTAAAAAAAAAAAAAAAAAAGCGTTTCAAATGTTGTTAAATCAGCCTGGAATCAACCCCTTTGAAACCGACCAACAACATCATACTATAAGTCGCTAATATTCTAATGGAGGAGACAAGATGTTAAATAAAGAATTACATCATCAGAAGTGTGCAAAGTGCTGCAAACAAGCATCTCTAATGGGATCCTGTCATCTCAGGTGGCTGGGGCAGGCTTTCCTCAAGAAGTAATATTTTTTTTTTTTTTTTTTAAGATTTTATTTATTTATTCATGAGAGACAGAGAGAGAGAGAGAGAAGCAGGCTCCCAAGGAGCAGGGAGCCCGATGTGGGA